AATAAGAGTAGAATAAGTGAAGGAAATAAGAGATGAGGATAAGAGAGTAGGATGTTCCTAGTAAGCGTATGCAGTTAGCAGATGCAGGCTGTACAACTAGATAGTATGTTAGATAGTAAGCTGGATAGTGGGCGGCAGAGGGTATATATGCAGGCACTTGGGTCAGCAGTTCAGCCATGACAGAGGCTCCACTAAAGGGTGGTGATATTTTGAGGGAACATGATTGAATAGGTTGAAAATGGTAAATTTGAATAGAGGCCATCGATTAGGATATAAATATAGATGAATGAAGAAATATTGGTGGAGGTACACTGGGTTCAGTGGAGATATAGTTGGCTACATAGTAGGGTACATAGTGAGCTGGATTGTATGGTTATATGCAGGCACTTACATCAGCAGTTCAAGCCAGGGCAAAAGGTGGATCAAACTGAATGAATATCAGAAAAAAACAAGGTCAGATAAAATGAATACGATTTAGTAGAGTAGAGAGACTTGTGAGATATAGAAATATTAGTGAACGAAGCAATATTAGTGAACGAAGCAATATTAGTGGAGATACACTGGGTGTAGTATTCACATAGTAAACTGTATAGTAAGCTATATAGGGAGCTGGATAGTGAGTTGCATAGTAAGCTATATATGGAGCTGGATAGTGAGTTGCATAGTAAGCTATATAGGGAGCTGGATAGTAAGCTACATGGAGAGCTGGATAGTAAGTTATATAGTAAGTTACATAGTGAGGCTATATGCAGGCACTTACCTCAGCAGTTCAACCCAGGGCATCGGTGGATCAAAGTGAATGGATATTCGAGAAAATAAGATCAGATAAAATGGATACGATTTACTAAAGTAGAGAGAATTGAGTGATATAGAAATATTGGTGAACGAAGCGATATTGGCGGAGATACATTAGATGTATTAGTCACATAGTAAACTGCACGGTGAGCTAGATAGTAAGTTAGATAGTAAGTTATGTAGTGAGGTTATATGCAGGCACTTACCTCAGCAGTTTAACCCAGAGCAGAAGGTGTACCAAACTGAATGAATATTTGAGATAATAGGATCAAGTGAAATGAAGAAGATATATTAGAGCTGTTAGGTTGTGTAATACAGAAAAATATATGAACGAAGCGATATTGGTGGAGATATACCTGGTGTAATTTTCTCATAGTAAGCTAGATAGTGAGTCGCGTAACGAGCCACATTATGAGCCACATTATGAGCCACATTATGAGCCACATTATGAGCCACATTATGAGCCACATTATGAGCCACACGATGAGCCACATTATGAGCCGCATTATGAGCCGCATTATGAGCCGCATAGTGAGCCGCATAGTGAGCCGCATAGTGAGCCGCATAGTGAGCCGCATAGTGAGCCATATATATGTAGG